ATTTATTATCTTACAGGCAGGCAGGCTAGGAAACGGGATGAACGAGCGTGCAGGCAGGGGGGGAACGGAATGAATGAGCGTGCAGGCAAGCTAGGAAACGGGATGAACGAGCGTGCAGGCAGGGGGTGAAACGGAATGAACGAGTGGCCAGGCAGGGGGGGAACGGAATGAACAAGTGCAGGCAGGCTAGGAAACGGAATGAAGGAGCGTGCAGGCAGGCTAGAAAACGGAATGAATGAGTGGCCAGGCAGGCTAGGAAACGGGATGAAGGAGCGGGCAGGCAGGGGAGGAAACGGAATGAACGAGCGTGCAGGCAGGCGAGGAAACGGAATGAATGAGCGGGCAGACTGGCAAGGAAACCGAATGAGTGAGCGGGCGGGCAGGCGGGCAGGCGAGGAAGGGCACTGACTCGAATATAAGCCGAGGCGGCTTTTTTCAGCCCAAAAAGTGGGCTGAAAAACTCGGCTTATACTTGAGTATATACGGTTAGTTTTATAATGAGGGAGCCAGCTCAGTCATCCTATTAAACTGAGTTAGAGATAGATCAGCCAAGAATTTATCAGGCTCTGGATGGAGCAGAACAATCTGAAGTTGATCCAGGAAAAACAATACTATGTGTCCATTAAGATTGTGCTGACCCCAGTCTTGTCTTCTAATGGGAAGGCATTGTCTTAAAGGAGGACTCCTGCTGAAGCAGTATTAGAAGACATGACTAAATTGGCCTTTGCCTAGCTTCACCTGGTATATCAGTTGTGGCCTTTCTTAGTGCAAGAGAACCTTGCTATGTAACTTGTGTCATTCATTGCCATCTGGTTAGACTACTGCAGCATTGTTTATATGGGATTACCTTCACCTTGTAGCTGGAAACTACAATAAATGTAAAATGCAATGTATTAGCACATGAGTATATTATCCTTGAGTTGCTGATTGACTTCCAGTTTCAATTAAAGGGCTGGGTTTGACACCCCAAATCCATTACAGTTCAGTACCTGAATATTTGCAGGACTGTTAACTTCAGCTGGAATAGAACCAACCTATAAGGTCATTGAGAAGAAACTGCTGATGGTTCTCCATTTTTGAAAATCTGTATGGGCTGAAGTTAAAAGGTGTTGCTTTTCAGTAGCAGTGCTGGCCTCCTGAAAGTCTCCCAATTGAAATCAGATTGACCTTCTCGCTGAGTGCATTCACTTCAGGTCAGAGTTAGTTTCATAAAGCATTTTAGCTTAGATCTAACATCCATTTAATTGAATAGGTGACTTTTTAATGATATTATTTTGCTTAATTGTTTTCAATTTATACTGTGGATATTTTGATGATGTTTTATATTGTGTAAACTGCTAAGAGTCATTTTATTTATAGCAGCAGGATAAAAACATAACAAATAGCAAAGTGCAGTGGTGGATCTAGTAATAATGGGTATGTTACTAGTCCACAAATGGAACTTTGTGTTCTGTTATCATGGACTTTCTTACTCGAAAGTATTGCCCAGCATAGCCTTGCAGTTGGAGATAACAGTAATTATATATTTTGCATAATGTGTGCATTTTCAACTGTTTTTAAAACCCTGTAAACACCCAACTAAAGAACTGATCTACAGCCCATTTTAAATACCACTCATGTCTTGGCAAATATTACATTATATACAGTTTTGAAATTCAGCATTCATACTCAACCCCAGTTTTGGTCTTTAGTTGGGCCCTTTCTCCTCTGTATTTTTGTTTCTCCTGGTATTTTCCTTGACAAATAGCAGGCTTTGTTCTTTGCACATTAGAGAGTTATAATAACACCATGAAGAAATAACAATGGGAAGCCGTAATGATAAATCGAAGTGTCTCTATTCACACACACTTTGCCAGCTTGAGTGAAATGTGCCAGATTGTCTTTCGCAGATGTGCGCAAAGTGAAACTTTCAACAAAATAATCAGCCCAGATGGTAGGAGTATTGACCAGACAGGGCTGAGCTTGAAATATGGCTGTCGCTGATCAATGCAACTCAAGTTAAGCAACGTAGTCTATTAGAACTAAGAAGCATGCCTTTTTCATACACGCACACACACACACACACACACACACAAACACACTTTACCTAGAATTATTTGAAGTTGTGCAGATCTTAAAGTATTTAAGTAAACAAGCTGAATACTTTTCCTTCCCCCACACAACAGATTGCCAAATTATGCTTATCTTTTAGATGTTTCTGAAGGGAAAAAAGGCAGCAACAGAAAATAATACTGTACATCATTTGTAAACTGCATTAATCTGACCAAATCCACTATGTTTTCTGCTGCATCTGTAAAAAACACAGCATTAAAACATTTAGTGAAGGAGATTCCACTTGTATTTCCAATTGTCACTTCCACCTTATCAATTCATTATTCTGCTTTGTGAGTAAACAACTAAAATTAACCAAATGAAGAAAATAACCTCAGTGTCAAGGAGTTTTAAACTAGAAAAGGGTTTTGTTTTTTGCTGTGGTGATTTCTTTTGCCAAATACGAAGGACGTATTGGAATTACCTGTGCAGCTCTGCCATCTGCAACTCAGGCAGACAGCTGAGTTTCTAGAGGGCTGCTGTCAGGTGAGCTGAAATGAACAGAGGGAGACAAAATGTTCTCTTGAATATGGAAAAGCATTGTGAAATGTGAACAAACATGCAGAGAATGCCATAAAGAGTTATTAGCTGGTAGTCCCCAAACAGGTAGAGGATGTGTTTGACAGCTCAGTGACCCCAATTCCCAGATAATCTGTAGGGAAAAATGGATTCTCAATGCTGTCATGTATCAGTAATACATGCATCAATTTATTTGTTACTTCGTTGCAAGATAGGGTGGTATTTGCCAGGAAATGGAGGTTATCTGTGTTTTCCTCTAGCATTTAGTTTGAGCTTCCAGTCCACTCTTCAAAAACTCTTCATATGTGTGTTATTCTGAAGAAATTCAGATATAGTAATTCAGATAATACAAAGTGGACACTTTTAAATGTAACTATGCAGAAACAAAGGATTGAAAACTACTGTTTTGTACATGCAACAGAGTTAAATCTGCATAGTTACCAAACTCAGAAAAAAATAGAAGTGATGTTAATTATCCTAGGAGCTTTACTGAGTTTCGACATTAATGTCAGCCAGTTTTTGGGAGACAGCTTAATTATGGGTAACTAGCAAGAAAAACTCTGTAATGGACTTATTATTCTAAAAAAGGATGAGGAGAATTGATATGGATTTCATCATGATATGATATCTGCACTGAGAGTTTAAAAACAGAATTATAAATGATTTCCTAGAGAAAACCCTTGGGACTTAAGAGAATTATTTCTCTATGGTTTACACTGAAATTAAATTATCTCATATTGAGTTTGGTATTGTGTATCTACTGATACCCCCTATGTTTCTGTAGTAGCATTTGAACTCTTTCTTTGAGTTAGCATCACAGTATATTTTAGCCATAAAAATTAAAAGACTATAAGATTTTACAAGATTCAAATCATAATGGTGACAGGTTGTAATGATATAGTTTAGCACCTATGTGGCACTAATTCTCAAAGAACGCAGTATTCTCTAGTTGATTCATATATTCTGTTCTCTTGTTAGATGAAACAACATTTGAAGCAGGAGTCAAAGTCCAGATCCACAGTCAGTCTGAGCCGCCATTTGTTCAAGAACTTGGGTTTGGTGTGGCACCTGGTTTCCAAACTTTTGTAGCCATGCAAGAACAAAGGGTAAGTTATTTTTCTCAGGTAGGTTAGGTACCTGCCTGCTTTACTTCTAAGGCAGAAAGAGAAGAAAACCTTTCTTGGTTGAATGCTTTGATGACAACCTTAACAAAAGCAGACTAATCTGGGGATTGGGTCTCATCTGTTGACTTTTGAGAATGGATTGAGAATTATGATGAAGGCAAAAAAAAGAGAGATCATAACTACAGAAGAAACTTGAATTGGATTTATAATAGTTTTATACTTCCAAGAATCCTGCGACTTGCCATTTTATAAGAATTCCCAGAATTCGGTGTCCTGATTCATTCCGAATCATTCATAGAAATAACTGTGTAAATAAATTTCCAGAAAAGAGGTTTCTTCAGGTGAGGTTTAAACTGCATGTCAGTCTGTCTTGTGCAGTTTATATGAATGTGAGATTACCATTGAAAAAATATCACAAAAGAAACACTATTCTGAAATATTTCTAGTATATAGCCTGGCATGGTTGCATAACCTACAGCTTTTTCAAATGTAAGCATAGAAGTAGCCTTGCTTAAGATCAAGGAGAAGCCAAGGTTTTGCCAACACATTGATTAATTGACTCTTTTAGCAGAGCTTGTCCTTATTTTTATTTGCTTATGAATAAATGAACAGCAATAGCATTTTCATGTTTTTTCCCATCAGTTGTGGTTCTAGATCATATATAAGAAAAGTAACTGTGCACACATAAATGTGGTTTTGTAAAGTCCAGCAATTGTTGTAACAAGAGAATGGCAGATATCCATAATGTCTTCTGAAAATAAATTTTGTGGGATTGGTACATGTTTAGTCCACACTATAGTATTACGGAAGTAATTACTGAAGCTGCAGAATCTTTATTTCCTTTTCAGGTTATTATGCTGCCAAAGGCAGCATGTTGAGGAAGATGAAATATTCCCTGAAACAACCATTTCTGCCAATTTGACCATAAAAATTAAAGAAGCTTCAATTAAGCAAAAAGGTTGGAGATGTGATACTGGGTAGGAAGGCAGAAGTGGGCCTTTGAGATTCATTTTGTGAAATGTTCAGGCAATGTGGAAAGAGAGAAAGACCATCCAAATATGAGAAAAATATCTGAGATTGGTTTTAGAAAAAGAGAATAGGGATTGCCATTATACATTCTGTGACTTGGGAGCCATATGTGGTATATTGGTTATAATAACGGAGAATAGACTCTTGGTGAATTGAGGGGCAACAGCTGACGCAGGGCACAGAGAGTATTAGACAGAAGTCAGCTGGCAAGAGAAACAGAGGCAATAGTAGAAGGATTGTTGTGGAATGGATGTGCAAATGCTCTTGGATTGCTGTCCTAAAACGTTACTCTCTAGAAACTAAAGCAGTAAAGACTTTTCATCTAAAGCAACCTGATATCCTTCCAATCTTTTGATCATCAGTTCTCACTACTCCCAAATCAGCCTGACCAACAGAAAAATATTTTGAGAATGTTAAGCCCAGATATATGAAGGGAAGTTGGTTGTCTTATCAAGTCTATGCCAAACAACATTCCCAGTCTGTACCTGCTTTCTGTAAGCATTGCACTACGGTTCACATCCCAGCAGAAATAACAGTTTGCAATTGAATACTACTATGACAGTAGTAACATCATGTGAGAACATCATGTGATCATCATGTGAGAAGTTCAGCAATATAAGGTGGAAGGAATGTGACACAATAGGTTTTTGCTGCAGCAGATTGGGGGAATTTAGATTTAACTTAAGCTAAAACATAATGTGGGTTGGTACCATTTCAGAAGACTAGATATCGTCCTTATTTTTTGAGGGATATAAGATGAATGTTAAATAGGAAGCCATATATCTTCACTAAGGAACTCTCATGTAGTCTAGCTTTCTGTATTAACTCATCAGAATTTTCAACTTAATTCACTTAATGTTATCTATCAAGGCTTAATGTATTCCACACTGCATTCCTATGTGAGCAAAACCACTTATCTTCTTGGAAAGTGACATTGTGCATTGTCCCAACCAGGGCTGGATTTAGATGAAAAGAGGCCCTAGCTATTCCACTTATGAGGTCCTTTCTCCTCCCATTTTTAAGTTTGTAAATTACATGAGAGACAATAAAATACATCATTACTGTGATATATATCAATATATATAGCTGGCCTCCTGACGGAGGGCGGCTCTGCTCTGCGGCAAAGGCAGCAAGGCCAGCCGCCTCCCCTGCTGTGTTCAGCTGCCCGGCTTGGCCCCCTCACCCTCACCTGCCTGGCCGCTGGTGGGCTCCGCATTGACGGGGCCACACCTCTCGCCCGACTGCCGGTACCGGGAACGTGGGCGGGCTCCCCAACTGCCGCGGCGCTGGAACGATCTTAACCAATACATTTTTATGTTTGTTTATTAGTCATATGCATAGAATTTCTCCTTATTTTCGGTTCAGTGTTTTAGTGTTCATTGTTTTTAGAATAGTGTAGTTTTAATTTTGCTAACAATTTTAATGTAGGCCCCTCTTGATTTTGAGGCCCTAGGCTGAAGCCTAGTTAGCCTATAGGAAAAATCCGGCCCTGGTCCCAGCACATTCAGAGGCCTTTCTCTCTTACCCAACACAGCTGATTCCTTCACAATCTTTATAGAAAAAATTATATTTATTTTATTGAAATCATTCATATACAGCCTTTTATAAATGATATTCTCAGTCCTGTGGGATAGCTAAACATTACATAAAAATAAATATCTGATAAAATTCAGATCCCTTGGCTATGCATTAGATGCACCATTTTTCTTGCATTTTTGGCAGCCATTTCCAATCTATTATTTTCCAAATAATTATCTGCAAGTTCCTCCCCATAACGTTGAAGGAATATATGATCCTTGACTTTTGCTGAATACTGAAATAAGAGCAAGAAATAATTGTTCTTTAATGAGACATCACATCAGATCACACAAGTAGAATTGCTTCTCCATTTCAGCCTGCCCATGACTCTCTTTTGTCCATCTGCTCTCTTTGTCTGTTGAGCTTAGCACTTGCATCTGATTTCTCTCCCTCCTTTTCTTTTGCAAAAACCATCAAATAGGAACTGATACGTTTCTTAATTTGCTCCCTTCATTTCTTCTTTAAGATTATTTCATGTTGTTTGTTAACCAAATTGACTTTGTTGGATAGATGGAAATGGCCACTTTATGTTGATGATAGAATCAAAGTTCTTCCATGTGGAAACCAGACATTTGAATACTTTTTCTTGTTTCAGAGTATCTGCACAGATACATAATATATAAAGATATATAATATATAAAGAATTATATATTAATTCTTAATATTTTTTTTTCACATGGCAGAGAAAAGTTTACTTTTAAAATTATTATAATTATTCAATTGGATAGGTGGGGAATTTTGAGAGTTGAAATCCTCACATCTTAAGGTTGCCAAGTTTGATAAATACTGATACAAATTAATCCTGATAAATGTGAGATTACAAAGATGCCTATTTATTTTCCTTTGACCAGAGTCTAGCAGATTTTTGGATTACAACTTCCATTATCAGATTGAAATTCCCAAAATTCTTTCAGTTCTCTTTCCAATTAAGAGATAGAAACTTTAAGTCTCTTTTACTTGATTGCTGCAAAGCTATATATTGATGATAACCCCTGTAATCCTTCTGATGGGTGGGGACGGAGAGACTAAAGTATTTTAAAGGGAGAGAGACCATAATTATATTACCAGGTGTCATCTATGCTTATCATAGCAAAACAGTTTGTGGGTTGTAAGATACCAAGCAATTTGGTATATCTTGCTATTATTGTTTCAACAAATAAACCTCATTTGGCTCAAGTGACAACGTATAATTTCTTAGGAAGGAAAAGAAGATCGAAGAAACAGAACTGTCTGGCCCTGACCTCTTTTACTTGGGCCAAGCAAGTGGCCACCAAGGAAATTAAGCTTCTAATCATGCCCAACAGTGCTTTTTTAAGAGTGGGTAATGAGAAACACTTCAGAAATAATCTTGATTGCATGAGTCAGAACATGAAAGGTATTCAGTCCATTGATTGGTGTACAATGGCAAAAGCAAAAGCACAATTTGAGCATCGCTAGCCAGCAGCAAGGAAACAAAAAGAATCCACCTTGGAGACTAAAGGAATTGAACTATGGACTTTCAATAACTACACAATTCTGACGAAAGAAAAACATGTAAATTGGTCAGATCCAGATAAATAATATCATTCTTCTTCTTCTATCCCATTTCTCTTCCAGAGGTTTTAATAGCAAAGAAAAATCTCTCTGGATCAATCTGAACCAATGTTTCTCAACTTGACAACTTTAAAATGTGAAAATGTGAAATGGAAATTCTGGGAGTTGAAGTCCACATATCTTCAAGTTGTCAAGGTTGAGAAACACTGGCCCAATCACTAGAACCTCACATTTCACCCTCACTAGTTAAATATTTTATGTACATTACATTTCAGGTTCTTGGCTCCAGTTCCACTGCAGGTCACAGATGTGGCCCTGACAAAGCATTCTCCCAAAGCAGGAGTCAGCAACTTTAAACACTCAAAGAAGGTCTAATCAGAAGCCCCCTGTTCAATTTTGGAGCCAACCAGAAGTCCAGTTTCCTTACTAGCATGGCATCCTTTTTCCTCTATTTCACCTAATTGAAAGCCCTATCAATTGTGGAGCTGACCAGAAAACCCACTCCTTGCCATAGAGTCTCCTCATGGCACACCTTGCTTCCCCCCTCCAACCGGAATTTCCTCCCAATATTGTGGTGCTGACCGGCAACAGGGAGCCACAGCAGAGGGATGAAAGAGCCACATGTGGCTCCAGAGCTGAGGGTGCTGACCCCTGTCCCAGAGCAAAGTGAACCTTTCTTTTTGCCATTTCTACACATCAAAGACACAACCAGGAAGGCCCAATTAAGCATTCAAGCTATGCCTTTCCTGCAGACATTAGGCCAGCTCAAGGGTCATGTGACTTCAACTCAGGGCTGGCTTCCTGGGAAACATTGAAATTAAATATGTATTTATTCTATCGTT